AGATGCCTGGAAAAGCCCCAATGTATGGAAAATTCTCTTCCACTTTTTTCTATTGTCCTTATTTAACTGGATGAACAAGGACATATTTTTGAAATTTATTTCAAAAGAGAAGACAATTTTGGAAAAATTCTCATGAATGAAAAGTGTCTTTTTGTTGTGCTTACTTAGTTATGAGATTGCCTAGGGTGTGCATGTTCTGTCATTCATGATCCAATCAGTCTCCATTGGATCCTACCTTTGAAAAATGGATGGAGAATTTCTCCTTCCCTTGCAGAAATCTGAAGAACTTGTCCAACCAGTTCCTCTGCCCAGAGATTTCAAGGAGAATTTGAAGATTCTTTGTGACCTTTCAACTTGGATCTCAGCATATCTGAAGAGTGTCAGATTGAGGAAGGCTGGTCATTAACAGTTTCAGAAGCCAGTAAGAAGTCCAGGAGAATGAATAAGTCATGCTCTCTCTGCCACAGATCATCAGTGAGAGTGACCATGGTAGTTTCAGTGCTAAAGACAGATATGGCTGCCAATTCAAATGGGTCTGGAAACTCAGTCTTATCTAAGGCTACCTACTCAAGCATCTTACTTAAGTATAAAAGTTAGCAGCTTTCTAATTATTAAAATATTTTCATTCCAAGGCAGTGTTCTTTCAAGGTAATCAGATCACTGGTTATCATAACTCTGAATATTACCTACAAGGTCCAGTCAACCAAACACCTTCCTGCAATCTTTTTAACTAACAAGTGTTATGTTATTCTCAAAGGTAGCATTCACATCTGTACTTGGCAAGAGAAAGCTGCCCAAATTAGTGCAATTCAACAATGCTAAGATTGATTGATCAGATTTTTCAAAATGGCTTAGTGAACTTCTGTCAGTGCACTACTCTTTTTATTTTCCAATCCAGTTTTCAATGTAGATGTGTTTTCTGGTTGTTCAGTTTGTGTTTTCCAGATTGTTGTATGCTGAATAGTATATTATTTTCCATGCTTCTCCATAGCAAGGAGAGCAGGTTTTAAATATTTGCATCTTGTACTGGTCTAATTGACTGTAATAAAGTTTTTATTTATATATATATAGAAATATATATATATATATTTGCATAAATACCTGAAGTAGATTACAGTAATACACACACACACAGAGTACTGTGCAAAAGTTTTAGGCAGGTGTGAAAAAATGCTGTAAAACGAGAATGTTTTCAAAAATATATACTGTATTGTAATATGTTTATCAATTTACAAAATGCAAAGTGAGCAAACAGAAGAAAAATCTAAATCAAATCACTATTTGGTGTGACCACCCTTTGGCTTCAAAGCAGCATCAATTCTTACACTTGCACACTTTGTACATTTGCACAAAGTCAGGGATCTTGTAGGATTAGAGTCAGGTGTATGATTAACCAATTATACCAAGCAGGTACTAATGATCATCAATTTCATATGTAGGTTGAAACACTGTCATTAACTGAAAGAGAGACAGCTGTGTAGGAGGCTTAAAACTGGGTGAGGAACAGCCAAACTCTGCTCCTAAGGTGAGGTTATGGAAGACAGTTTCATGTTACAGGTCATA